GAGTTGCTTCATTTTGTTTGCAAAATGGGAGATTGAACTTAGTCACCGTGCATTAATAGTCTCCTGCATCTGGCTCGGCTGTTTAAATTTTTTTTAAAAAAAAAAAATAGTAAAGGCAATTTTTTTAAAATTAGCTCAGAGGACCAGAAATAATGAAAATTACTTTTTTGCAGAAGAAGAAGGAAGAAGAAGAACAAGAACAAGAAGTTGTTAACAGAGCTGGTGAGGATGTTAAGCAGCTAAGGGTGTTAATGCCAAGACTGAAGACCTGAGTTTGAGCCCAGGACCCTCAAGATGAGAGACCTGACTTACATAGCTGTCCTCTGACCTCCACATTCTCACCATGACACACACTCACACTCACAAATAAACACACACGTTCACACAAAATTAAAAAAGTGCATTAAATAAAAGTTTTACAGAAACAAATCAATGTGATAGCAGCTGACAAGGGAAATTTGAATTTAAAAAATAAAACTTCATTGATTTTTTTTTTTCTTATAGTGCATTGGACCAAATTTTGATTTTCTAGGTAAAACAATCAGGAGCCTCGCCAACCTCTCCCTCGGGGACACAGACTCGGGCAAACGAGAGAGAAAGGAGGCGAGACACCTGTCCCAAGGGAGAAAGGAAGAAACACCTGGAAAGCAGTGCAGACAAAGAGACCAGGAGGTAGTGGGAGGGGAAACCAGAGAGGAGGCTGCTGGTTCTTACAGTCAACCTGTTCCCAGAGGAGAGAGAGATGGAGGAGGCAACACTCTAAAAACTGGGACACGCTCAGCGAGGCCAGATTGTACCTCCTGAGACTCGGCTCTGATGACACTCCTTCCAGGAAGTTTTCTCATCCAGTTTGGATCAAGGGGCAGCCTGAAAGGAGCAAGTATCCAGTGCACATCACGTAAATTCATTCCTTCCCTCACGTAGCCTGGACTAGTCCCGTGTTAATTAAACACGAGCGGCTAGAAAGTAAACAAGCCCTGGCAGCTTAACTCGCTCGCAGCTCGCAGCGTTAGTTTGCGCGGGTGTGGGCTCCCGCTCCTCCCACACACGCTGCAGACCAGGAGTTTAAACGACAAGAGGCTGGCTTGAAGGTGTGTTTCTACAGGGGGACGAGCTGTCAAATCTCCGCAACGCTGGGAGCAGGGGTAAACAGATTGAGAAGGGGGTGGGGGCGTCGTTATTTCAAATTCTCCCAGCTTTCCCGCGCCGCTGCTTTCACTGACAAGAAGGTGTGGGTAAGTCGTGGGCGGGATGGAGAAGGTGTTCCTCCTCCTTTCGCCGGTGCAGGAGGGGGATGCGAGAGTTTAGGAAGGAGCCCGCCCTCCCGCCCTCCCGCGATCCTCACCAGGTCAATGGCCACGACGTCCCGCAGAGCCACGACCCGCCGGATGGACTTGGGCGGGTTCTCGGTCAGGTAGATGAGCCGGTCGCTGAGCACAACGTACTTGAACGTGTGCTTCTCTGCGTCGGACACCACGATGCACGGCTCGTAGGCGCGGACGGCGTCGTAGACCTCGGGCGCCAGGTGCCGCCGCAGGAACGCGTCCAGACGGCTGTTCGTGCGCGCCGGGAAGCCGGACCGAGCGGGGCTAGCCATGCGGCACCCGCGACCAGGCAGTGTCCTCGCTGGCTGTGCCTCCACGACACTCGGTGGAACCCCTGCACGCCACAAAGCCGCGCGCCAGCTGCCTCCGCCACCACCGCGCCGGGACGCAGGGAGCCGGCCCCAAAGCTCCCGGAACCCGCTCCCGGGTCCGGTTTCCGAGCCCCCTGCCCCGCCTGGTCCCGCCCCTAATCTTTGTCCGCACTTTCACAGCGATAGGCGGGGCAAGACTGAGGTCTTTCTCGCAGGGTTGATTGACAACCGAGAGCCACTCAAGGTCTGGGAAGGAATAGTTAGGGGCCTCATCCAGCTACTGAGTCACAGGGTCCCATACAAACTCCATTGATAATGGAGGCAAGTTTTAACCTTATTTCCCGTTCAAGAGAAACTTGAAGCATGGAGTTTTACCGATTTGAGAATCCTATAATGACAGATTTCGCCTTTGACCAGAACACTGCCTGGTTTGTATGACCATAACACTGACTTTCCAGCTTTGTCTCCGAAGCAGGACTCTGTCTCAAGGGGACTCTCACAAATTGCTCTGGTAACGCAGGACCATCTAAACCGTGCTCCTGTGTTCCCGAGAACAATGTGGAAAATGAATGCATGGTTGAAGGACCCTCTGGAAATGGAAGCTAATGAGTGGAAGGATGAGGATTGTGTAACCCTAGAGACGCAGAGCAATAAAGAGACCGCTTCACGTTTGCAGGCCTAAAATAGCACGGACTGTTGGGTTAACGAGATGAAAAGCAGACAGAAACTTGCTTGCCCTAGGTGTGCACTTCCATTTTTATTTCAAATCCTAGGAAAGACATCTTCCCCTCCCCCTTCCCATTCATCTAAAGACCCAAGAATGGAGCCAGGTGACCCACACTGTAGGCCTAGCATTCCAGAGACTGAGGCCTGAGGAGCGCCATACTGGAGGTCTGACTTTGTCGGTCTAGTGAGTTCTGGACTGCACAGCAAGACCCTGTCTCAAAATAAATACAAGGAAAAGATACAATAATAAAAATATCATCCCTCGATTTACTAACAACCCTTAATATAATCTGATGTTCCTTACTGTGATTTATATTCTCCTTTCTTTCACATTTTACTGTTATGTGTTGAATACTGTAAACAATTTTCCATCCATTGTGGGAGAAGAGTCGAAATGTATTGCAGTGTGTAGCCAGATATTTCGCCCCCTACACTAGGGAAAGAGAAGTGCTTCAGCCTAGCTAAACAAAGCAGTAATAAATAGAACATGCTATTTCTTGTCTTTGGTAAGAGTAGGGAACAAGTGCCACCTGCTGGCAAAATCTCAGAGTGTCCCCAGAGTTTACATGACTCCTATGGGCAGAAAGGTAAACCCTCGCCATTGCCTAACAGTCAACCCACAACAGCAGCTCTGTGACAAGTGACTATAACAGCAGAGGGAGAAAGTGAAGACCAAGGGGGAAAGCCGCTCTTCAGACCTCTGTCCTGTCTCTGGGTTTCTTGTTTTCTACCCACTTCCCAGGACAAGGCAAACAGAATGTGGGGACCATGACCAGAACAGACAGTGCACCTGTGTCTGTGCCCCAAAGCCGACTAGGGATCAGACATCTTTTGGTGAGCAAGACACGAACCTTAATAAACCTTAAGATGAAGCACACAAAAATGGGACTGATGATGACCTCATTTAAGCCTGACGTCCCACAGAGAAGTCAGTATCATGGTTTCTAGGTACTCAAGTGTTCCACACCGTTGCCAGGGCAACAGCAAAGTTCAGATTGCAGGGATAGGGTCAACAACAGAGAAAATCTGTACTGGGTTTGGAGGCAGGAGGATTGGATTAGATGACTAACCCTGCTGCTCACTACCTGTGAGATTTTTAGGGGGAAACATCACTTAACCTTGCAGAGTCTAAGTCTCATCACATATGAAAGGCATCTAGTAACGCTTGCCCTGCCTGCCAAGAGTGGAAGGCCAGAAAGTCCTGCAGACATTGAAGTGTCCATGTTCCCCTGGGCTTTTCTAATCTTTCCAAGGGCAGCTAACCCAAACGTCCCTGAGATAAGCACTTACTCTTTTGGTTTTTGTTTTATTTTGTTTTTTGTTTTTGGCTTTTCAAGACAGGGTTTTTCAGTGTAGCTCTGGCTGTCCTGGCACTCGCTCTGTAGACCAGGCTGGCCTCGAACATACAGGGACCCGCCTGCCTTTGCCTCCTGAGTGCTGGGATTAAAGGCGTATGGCACCACACAGCAATCACATGTTTCTTTGCCTTCTAATCCAAACTCAAAAAAACATTTGGCATAGATTCTGGGCAACCAAGCATTTGATAAACATTTCTACGAGGAGAAAGGAGGATTACTTATACGGAGCTAACCTCAAAAGGCAGTCACTGACCACCATGAAAACAGAGTGGTGGGCCTCCGCCCAGGGTGGTTGATTGAACTAACTTGAAAGCATAGACATTATGAGAATAACACCATGAAAGCAGACAAACTGGGTTCAAATTCCAGCCCTCCCCTCAGTAGGTAAATGACCTTACGCGTCACTCAACACCTAGGTTTCCCCATCTGTGGAAAAGACTAAGAGCTCCAATAACAAATCATTGTTACAGTTAGCAAAGATTGAAAAGAATTGAGAAGCAGGGTGGGGGCTGAAATGTAAAGGATTTGTCAGCTCGAGTGAGACTCTGGATTTGATTCCCAGCACTGCCGAAAGTGAAGACTACGTGGTGGCAGTGTGCCTGTGATCTCCCACTAGGCAGGTCTGAGACACAGCCATTGAGAACTCATGATTCCGTGGAGCTGCCCTGGTGTGGCTGAACACGTGCTTTTAGAACAGCTTCAGGGCTCACAGAGATCAGAAGGCCTAGGGCCCTGGAGCCGTGGTTCAGCACTTGAGAGTGATGACTGCTCTTGCAGAGGACCCGGGTTTGGGTTCTCAGCACCCATATGGTGGCTCACAACACTCTCTAACTCCAGTCCCAGGGGACTGTGCACTCTTTTTACCTCTGTGGGTACTGCACACGTATGGTGTATGTACATACATGCAGACAAAGCACTCACACACACAAAGTTTTAAGGATAAGAAAATAAACAAAAGGGGACTGGTTTGGGAAACCCCTAGTTATTCTACTTAGTATCCGTGGATATTGTTCATCTAATTAGCAGTAATTAGCAATCAGATGTGTTGGAAGCCGTGGAAGAATACAGCATATGGCAACTGATAATTCAGACGCCAACCCACCAGAGGAGTGGCTCTGATGGAGGGTGACCCTGCCCAGACAAGGCCCTCAGGACCATCTGCTCTGGAAACTGTTGCTCACTTTTGTTAAAGCAGCTTGGTGTCTCCCAATACCTGTGTTGTAGTGTGTAATCTCATGTGATATGTGTATGTAATCTCATGATTGCATCTCAATCTTATGGGCACATATACCTGTGGGTGGTCAGGAAGATGACTTTTCATTTAGCTATATAATTTCTTTTATTTTTTTAAATTTTTTAAAAAGATTTATTTATTATATTTACAACATTCCTTCCATGTATGCTTCCATGCCAGAAGAGGGCACCAGATCTCATTATAGATGGCTGTGAGCCACCATGTGGTTGCTGGCAATTGAACTCAGGACCTCTGGAAGAGCAGTCAATGCTCTTAACCTCTGAGCCATCTCTCCAGCCCTTAGCTATATAATTTTGATATAAAGAATACATATTAGGGCATGCTCCATAACCAGATCTATTTGTCCCACGAGGTCTGCAGACACTTAAAATCCTGCTGTATTCCTTTTGCTCAGACTAAATGAACATAATTAGCTCATTTTACCTCAGAACAAGTTTAAACTAGACTAAAGGCTTTTTGTAGATGGATCATAAGTTCAAAACTTTGCACCTATGCACAAGTCGCAGATGTCCAACCTAGGATGCTACACAAAGCACCCTAAGAAAAGCTTGCCAGTTCTTCACTTGCCAAGTCTGCTAACAACAGACCCATGTCTCAGAGCTTATCACCAGGTACTGAGGCACGCCCCGCCCCCGTCTGGTTACAGTCTTACTTCTGTAACCTTGAAACCCTTGTGCTGTCATGGTAAAAGGCTCAGCTCCCTAACTCTTACCCTAGAATGTGCTTTTGACCAATGAGAAGTTAACTCTTACACTTTTTTATTATTGCCCCAAGCCTGGTGAGAATGAGAAAGTTTGGAGGCTGGAGGAGAAGAAGCTGGGAGGAATCAGAAGTAGGACAGGAGAATTGGAGCAGATGCAGAACAATTAAAAGACGGCTCCAGAAACGCAGAGTGAGAGAAAGAGAGAGTTTGCCCTCAGACACCCCAGGAAAAGGTTCCTTTCACTTGATGTAGCAACTGATCTGAACCCTGAAGAGGATCTTGGGGCTGGGCCCCAAAGGCCCTCGATACAGACAGCATGGAGGGGAGGAATCCACAAAAATCTAAGGAAACATGCAAATGCTATCAATTAAAGTTTTTTTTTTTCTGGAAATGTGCAGAAAGACCTTGGGACACTTAGCCGTAAATGGGACATTTCCTTCAAATGCCTCTCCTAGGTCTCTGTGGAAGAGGAGGCTGAAAGGTAAGAGCCAGAGCGGAGGGAGGACGCCAAGGAAACAAGACCCTCTAAACCAGCAGGATCTATGCACACATGAACTCCTATCGACTGAGGCAGCACACACAGGACCTGAATGGTTGGCACCAGATAGGGTCCCCGAGCTGAAAGGAGAAGGGGACACGTGCCGCACCTCTAATCCGGAAGCTTCTACAATTGATAGACAAGTGCTTGCAAATGAAAAATCAGTTTTCTCCAAGAAGTCTCACTGGGGAGATAAACACCCTTAAGGGTGGGCCCCATGCCCAGCAGAAGATGGCCCACACAAAATGAACTTAACAGCATCTTTAGACATTTCAGAGATTTTTTTTTAACCTTAAAGGTTCCTTGTATATACGTTATGGCTTCCATTTTTTTGTGTTTTTATGGAATTCCTGTGTGTGCAAATATGTGTGTCTCGGCGTCTATGTGTTTCTTATATTTTTTTGTTGATTCCTTTTCTTCTGTTTGTTTTGTCCTATTCCTATTTGTTTTTGTTTTATCTTTTTTGTATTTTAGTATTATTCCTTAGAAGATTGTTTCTCAGGAAACATAAAAAGTGT